GCTCTCTCATCAATATGCACAGCCCGATGCCGATCAATGGGAATGGAAACTCCAAAGCACCAGCGTGCCCAGTAATGCCCGCAAAACAGCAACAACGAAAACAGCAGCAACAAACGCAAATTAACAATTAACGCAGGATATTTGGTGCAACCGCAGCCACAAGCATCTGGCGGAGACTCGAAGGAGCCAAATAGAGATTGGCAATTTGGTGGCACCTCGCCACAGAGCACTCAACTGCCACACACTACCCAGGCGAGCCAAAAGCAACATAAATCAGCTCAGGCTGAGGCTTAGGCTGTGGCTCTGTGGGGGGTTGCAGCTATGCCACATATGTACAATATCGGGGTTTTTAGCGACTCTATAACTGTTGTAATATACGCTACGGATGGCTAATTGGGTACTGAGTACTGGACAGCGGACAGCGGACAGCGGACAGTGCAAATCTGTCGCAGACACTTGCGCGTGCCAGATTGAGTCATCCGTGCGGGTGCGAGTGCGAGTATTTGTGTACGTTGGGGGATTTTCGTCGACTGGAGGTGTGGGAAAACAAGCAACAAGCCAAAAGCACAACACATATTGTCAAGAGCCCCAAGTTAGCCGCTAATCAGAGAGGAAAATATTTTATCAGCAGCTCAAGTGGAAACTTGTTATGGCTAAACCCACAACTAAATGATGCGCAGAATGAGTAAACTCTGTGGCCGTGCACTGCACTGGGTACTTGGATATTGTTGCTAAATGTTTGCACAACTTTCGGAGCAACTTTTGCTCGAGCGTTCTGGAATGGTTCTGGAGTCTCTCGCCCGGTTTTTACGCTCAAAACATTCGCGGAAGCGTGTGTGATTTCCACGAAGCTGGGCACTACGATATGTGGTAGTAAGTGTTCTATTAATACCCCTAGGGAGTGCTCTCTAATGGGCAGTGGCGGTGGCAGGGCTAGCCCCAGAAGCTGATTGACCAAAAGGCATTTTTCAAATTGAAAAGTGAGGCCACAACCGCAAGGTGCTCTAACTACCTCTATTTATTGGCTGACATAATGGATGCAGGTGCTTGGGTCCTTGGGTCCTTGGGCTCTTCTCCAATTGTTGGGCCAAGTGTGGCCGCAGCAACTCACCGGATGCACAGAGGCACAGGGCACAGGGCACAGGGCACAGACATGCACCCATCGGAATGACATTGTACCCAAAACCACTTCCCTTTGCCCATCTCTGCGCTGGATGCCACAGCAATCGAGCAGACGACAACGAAACCTACAATTTGATTATCGCAATGAGAATTGCAGCACTTGGCAACGACAACGATTCACTTGGAGCCCCACGCACTGGCACTGGCACAGGCACAGAAACAGAAACAGAAGCTGGTGGTCAGGGTGGTCCCTCAGACCTCAGACCCTTTACCCTTGGAGACCCTTTACCCGCTTGCATTTTGTCAACATGTGTAGCTGTCTGTTTTAATGGTCAATTTCTCACTCTAAATGGATGCATGAGAATGAGAGCAAGGAACATGACCCTTTGGGCAGAGCCACCCTCAGGAATACTTTCCTTAGCCATGACCCGATCCAATCATTGAAGCAGCTTGCAATCTTTTCTGCATTTTTGTCCATGTTTATTGGAGTTTTCCCATAGCGTATCCGCTAGTCGTTGGTTTGCTGCATTCAGGCCGATTTTTGCCGGTTTTTCTTGCCCCTCCAGGGGTTGGGGTGGCAGCAAAGAAAATGCAAACGGAACGCATTTTGTGGCCAGCGTACAGGTTCCTCTTTCTGTGTCTACGTCTCCGCTTGCTGCCTGCCCCAACGGCCCAGCCCCAACTGCGACCCCACATTGCCCCATGGGGCATGTGGCACGACACACAGCATTTCGTACATTTCGGTTGACTTTTGCCGTTCGCCGGAAGTGTGACGGTACTCGTAGCAAGGAAGTAGTTAGAGTCCTGCGTGTGCAGGAGCTGCCACATGGAGCCGCAGAAGACTAACCATGGACCAGGACCGTAGGCCTCAGGATGCCTTCTCCTTCTCCTTCTCCTTCTCCTGCCTTTAATGGCAGCAAATCATTTACAGATGTCGCAACATTTTGCATAAAAACTTCTATCACAGACAACAAGAGGAGCCGCACCCCCCACTGTCTAACCTGCCCCTTGCCCAGCAGGCAAGGATAACCCTGCCCCTGCCCCTGCCACTGCCACGCGGCCAATGGCTTAAACGCTTTTCCAAGCAGGAAATGCATTTTCATTTAGCAACGGAAGTAGCTGCAAATGAGCTTTTAGTTTTTGCTCACCTTCATTCAGGCCTAACTCCTGCCTGCTGCCTCCTGCCTGCCAGCCAAAATTGTGCAATTTGCATTTCCGGCGACCCACCCAAGCCCCCCACCTGTTGCCGAGCTGCTCAAGCATTAGTCGGACATTAGCCGCGACCAGGCAATGGCCTGGACTCCACCTGGACTGCCCCATCGGCCTGCTGCGGAAATATGCGTCTGGTCTGCCACATGTCCGCAGAGTCTGTGTGTGTGTGTGTGTGTGTGTGTGTGTGTGTGTGTGTGTGTGTGTGTGTGGCATGTACATTGATTTCGCTCATTGATGCGTGGGTGAAAATAGGTTTATAATCAAATTAACTTCAGCTCGGAATTAGGTTGGCCAGCAGGCATTAACACAAACAGAGAGCGAGAGAGGAGCACCAATTCTGGCGGAGATTTTGCAGCTAAAGTTGCTAAAAGTTGAACCCAAATGTTGCGTTCACCCACCAGAACTACTGCCTAAACGTTAACTGATGAACTCGCACGGTTGCTGATGCCCCATACTGTTGCTGCCTTCCCCTCTCATGCCTCTCATGCCTCTCTGGTCTGGTCGGGTCGGGTCTGGTCTGGCAGCGGAGACGATTTACAAATGTTCATGGCGAGTAAATATGTCAAGTGCAGACCCCAACAAAAGAGGAGGAAGCAGAGAAATACAAATAAAAATATTCATGCTACATGCCTCGCACGTGTGGCATGAGGTGCCTGTGCCTGTGCCTGTGCCTGTGCCTGTGTGTGTGTGTGTGTGTGTGTGTGTGGAGGCCACAAAATGCATTGGCTTTTTGGGTGCATGCGTTTCCGGTTGCACTCAGAGTGGCAAACGATTTTCCAGTGTAAATTGGTCAACTAAATTATGCAGCATCAGTTACACAGTTCCAGCAACAGCAACAGCAACAGCAGCAGCAAGGACCAAGCTGCAAGCTGCACCCTGCAGGCCAGCCTGCCCCAGTCTCCTGGCACTCTGCCCGGCCCGACACCAGGCCTCCTGGGCAACAGCTGACACAAATTTGCATTCCATAAAATGTTAAAGCAAAAATAAAGTGTTGCCTCCGCTGTGTGTGCATCTTGCCACAAATAACAAACAAAAGAAAATGTTTTGCTAGTCGTTGGTACAGTGGATGCCCCAATATAAGCCCCAAAATAGGCATCAATAAAGCTTTGAGCAGAATCAATCCCATCTGTGGCGCCAGAAACATATGTTCGCGGTCATTCCACACCCCTTGGGCATTCTTTGTTGCCACTCCGGCAGCGGCCATCGCTCGCCTGGCTATTTGTCACTTGCAACCGCGACCGGCCATTTCCGCCATCCAGTCGGTTGCCATATTTACGCTGCAGTTGTTTTTGTTGCAAGTTTATGCAGTTGTAAAATTGCTGACAATTGATAGGCCATGGCAATGGCACTGCACACACCATTCGGCACTCTCCACTCTCCACTCTCCACACTCCACTCTCCACTACACTCTCCACTCTTCACTTGCTGGCCATGTCCATGGCCCCTGCTCGGTGGCCACAATTTAGCGCGCGGCGACTACCGAAAAGTGCAGCGCAGATTGCCAGGGTCTGGCCTGGTCAGCCTGCCTCTTGATGAATGCACAAATAATGGGAATGCATAACGCAAAGCAGGAAATAAATTATTCTTGTTGCTGCTGGAGGCGGACAGCAGACAGAAGCAGCATAATCCGCAGCGTAATAACAACAATCATCATGATTCTTATGATCATTGTCAATCACAATCCATACTCCCCAACACTGCTGAGCAAAATAATTGAGAGCAGCAGCTGCTTCCAGCTGCTGTCTGCCAAGGATTGTTCTAGGCGCTGTGGGGGGGAGCTGTGTATTTTCTGCACTCAAATCAACGCAGATTACGCCTTCGATTGCAGCCCCAAACCCTGTTGACTAGTGTAACATGATCATCGCTCTGACTGGCTTTTGGCCCGGGAATAATTTTGTTTGATTTTGATTCTGATCGAATTAGCGTAAAATTGAGCGTTCGTCAACTTTGGGAGCGGGGTCGCGACTGGTCGCTGTCAGACGGGGGCCAGCGGTGCCAGCGGTGCCAGCGGGGTCTCTGCTCCGCTGAAACGTGGTCTCATTGACAATGTTAAGGTTCAGATGGGACAGAGCAGAGCAGACCGCGTGCGGGGCATTAAAGAGGCGTGGAAATTGTGGGGCAAGCCTCCTTTGCCTGCCCTGCTCCTCGTCTCCCCAGCCAGCTGATGATTTGCATTTGCTGCTGGAACTGCTGTTCGGCTCGGAGCATCGACGTAATTGACGCAAGTTATTTGCGCTCTCTGGCTCTCGACTCCTTTTGGCAAATTGATTTTGCTTCGTGCCTCATCAGCAGCGACAATTGCCCTTATGATGATCGTCATCTGCCTTCTCCGTCTCTCATGATGATTGCCGCTGCCGCTGCCTGGCAGTTCGCTTCTTATGCGCTTCGTGTGCTCACGTAGCTGATGCCCCTCGTTCCACTTTGACTCTGCTGCTGCTGCTGCTGCTTCACCCTCCTGCTCTATGTGCTGTTGCTGTTGCTGCTGCTGGTTCTTCTGCCACTGGCTACCGATGTTTTTTGCGGTTTCACACTTTGGTTAAGGTTGCCTGCCCTTCGCACTCATCGGTCGATCGTTGCCGCCGCGGTCAGGCAACTCGGGCTCTGGGTCAGACTCGGAGGAACGTAACGCGGGAACGAGACGCAGCAGAGGTACGTACATACATATGTAGGTGGTATACAAAAATATTAAATTTAATTAATTGGCCGCAGAAAGCAGCCGAAAGTTACACAAAATCTTCTCGTTCTTAATCGTTAACAGACAATTGTAATTAAATTCTAGCTCCTGGGTTGCTACGGCTCCTACTTAATGTACTTGTCCATGAACTTCTTGTGGAAATCGGAGCGCAGGGCGTCGTTGACGAAGTGCGTCTTCTTCTCGGGCGCCGAGCGGGCGCAGTTTTTGAACACGACGTCGTCGTCCCAGCGGCGCTTAATCTTGAGGTCACCGCCCAGGCCGGAGGCACGTCCGGCTGCGGAGGCGGCTGTGCCCGGCTCGTAGTTAATCAGGGGATTGCCGGAGAGGATGTTCTCCATGCGGATGCGCTCGTCCTCGCGATTTTTCTCGGCATCGCGTCGGGCTGTCTCCTGCAGGCGCTCGTGCTTGATCTTCTGCAGCTCGGCCAGCAGGGCGGCGTCATCGTCGTCCGAGTCGCTGTCCGAGTCCGAGCTTTCGTTGTCCAAGGCCTCGTCCGCATCCAGATTGGCCTGCTGTTGTTGCTGCTGCAGCAGCAGCTGGGCCTGACCGTCCACCTTGTTGCGCTTGTTGGCGCTGCCGCCCGCATTGTTGGCCTCGATGGCCTTGCGCACGATCGAGGGCAGGGCCTTGCCCGAGGCAGCACCAGGACGTGCCTCGCGCTCGCGCTCCTCCAGCTCCTTGCGGAAGTCGCGGCTGCGGATCTCCTCGGTGGTGCCCTGTCCAGGCTCCCTGCGAATGATTATCGGTCACAATTATTAACTGAAAACTACAAAATGCAGGCCCTACGATGCTCGCATGCCTTTTGCGATGTGTTTGCCTACCTGTACTTCAGCTTGGTGTGGCCTGGCAAGTCGCGACTCGAGTACTGCTTGCTCAGAGCGCTCAAATCCTTTTCGCCACGCCCCGAGCCACCGCGGGCGGGATCAAACGTTGGACGTGCGGCTGTAGTCATATTTCGGGTTCGTTTTTTAGCCTCAGCGACGACTTACACAATTATATGTAAATATTTTTCAGAAATTCGCTGTTCGTTTTGGTTGTCACCAGTGTGGCCGCTGATTTATCGATGACATATACCGCGTGACCCTCAAAAATATACCGAAATATACCTTCTCATCTTCGGAAAGATACCGATTTAAGTTAAGAATAACATACATTACACACATAAATGCTGAACTTTTTATTTGTATAAATAACATGGGTCATTAATCTGTAAAGGTGTGTATTGAAAATGTTGATGCTTAAGTTTGACAATTGTCGCAAAAATGCATCTCAGTTTACGTCCTGTTACCTTATCTGCAGATGATGAGGGCTTATTTCAGTATATTTTTGAGGGGCAGACGGTATATTTGGCCAGCTGTTGCGCCTTCAGCATCGAATCGTTACCACGCGCGGGCTCCTCTATTTACGATTTTAACGACTTTGGCAACGCGCTTTGCCCCCAAACCCCCGATCCAGCCCTTCCCCCTGACCAACGAGCGACAGCTGCCTGTCGTGGACTGCAATGCTGGCCAATTTGCAGGTGCGCAGTGGACACTTGTTGCGTCACAGGCTCCAACGGACCAGCCACTGGACACGCAGCTTGGCGAGCACCGCGCCCAAAGGTGCCAGCAGCGAAGCCAAGGCGCCAGAGGACGATCGTCTGACCATCGGTGATGTAAGCGTGCGCCTGACCAAGCCGAAGCATCCGCATCTGGTGCCCCAGCAATACGGTAAGCATCGGAACGGAGATCAGATCCCATTTGTGATCAAAGGTCAATTGGTATTTAATCTGTCTGTTCCATTTGGCAGTGAAATACGCACCGGATGGCACCCTTCAGCTGACGCAGTCTGCCCTGCACCATCTGCGCTGGATGCTGCAGAAGGATGCTCTCAAGCAGGACATGTTCTTGCTGGGCCAGCCGGGTCCACTGCGTCGCCAGCTGGCCATGCAGTTCCTGGAGCTCACCCAGCGCGAGGTGGAGTATGTCTCACTGAGTCGCGACACCACCGAGAGCGACCTCAAGCAGCGACGCGAGATCCACAACAAGGCGGCCATCTACCACGACCAGGGAGCCGTGCGGGCCGCCATCCACGGACGCGTCCTCATCCTTGATGGCGTGGAGCATGCCGAGCGCAATGTGCTGCCCATCCTGAACAATCTGCTGGAGAATCGGGAGATGCATTTGGAGGACGGCAAATTCCTCATGTCGCCCGAACGCTACGACAAGCTGCTGGAGGTGCGTACCCCCGGAACACTCGACTCGATGTAAACTCTGATTACTGATTTTCACTCTGCAGAAGCATTCGCGTGAGCAGCTGGATGAGTGGGGCCTGTTGCGCGTCTCCGAGCAGTTCCGCGTGGTGGCCTTGGGCCTACCCACGCACAAGTACAAGGGCACCCCGCTAGATCCCCCGCTGCGCTCTCGTTTCCAGTCCCGCAACGTGACCAGCTACACCTACGGCGAGCTCTACGAAGAGCTGCAGCAGTTGGCACCGGCTGTGCCCGGCGATCAGCTGAAACAGCTCCTCACGTTCGCCCTCACCCTGCAGAAGGCAGACGACAGTCTCCAGCTGCCCGACTTTCCACTGCACAATCTTCAGCTGGGCGTTCAGATGCTGGTGCGAAGCAATTTACTCATTTAGTCAGCAGTTACCTTACCCCTAACCTTTCCGCTTTCCGCTTTCGCAGGAGGCCAATCCCGCCCTCAGCCTGCACGATGTCATTACTCGCATTTATCCATATCAGTCCATGCTGAAGTCCGACCAGCAGAAGCGCGTCGAGGAGCTGCTGACTAGCCTGCATGTGCAGCGACTGCCTGGACATACCATCCATAAGATTAAAAGCAGCGCACAGGCTGACCATCGCATCACTCTCCAGCTGGATGACCTGAAACTGAGCCTGCCCGCAGGTGACACAATGCCGGCCACGCCGAGCAACTTTGTGGATCTGCCGCACCAGCGACAGGCCTTGGCCGCACTGCTGCAGGCCTATGCCGTCGGCGATGTGTGTCTGCTGGGCGAGAAGGGCGTGGGCAAGCTCACCCTGACCAAGCAGCTGCTTCGGCTACTCCATCAAACCGCCGAGCCAATGATGCTGTACGAGGACATGACCTCCCGCGATCTGGTGCAGCAGCGCATCACCAGTCCCGAGGGAGACACCGTGTGGCGCGACTCGCCGCTGGTGCGAGCAGCCAAGGCCGGATCTGTGGTGGTGCTCAATGGCGTGCATCGCCTGCACAAGAGCACGGCGACAGTGCTGCAGCGGTAGGCATAATCAAATGGCACAGTCCCCGTTGCCACTCAACGCAATTCTTGTCTCCCGCAGCCTCATTCACGACCGGGAGCTGCTGCTGTGCGACGGCACCACCTTGCTGCGCCCGGACCGTTATCAGTCCCTGCTCCAGCAAGGGTACTCCAGCGATGAGCTGACAGAACGAGGTTTGCTGCCGATGCACGAAGCCTTCCGCATTGTGGCATTGGCGGAGCCCCCACGTCCGGGCAGTGGGCAGCCGAATTGGCTCACACCCGAGCTGCTGAGTCTGTTCCTCTACCAGGAGCTGCGTCCACTCCACCAGAGCGAGGAGCACGAGCTGCTGGCCCAGCTATGCGGCGGCCAGTTGCCCCCCCAAATGGACCAGCTGCTGAAGCTGGCCCAGCTGCTGCGCTCCTCGCAGGATCCGCTGACACAGGGCCTCGCCGGCACACTGTCCACGCGGCAGCTGCTCAAGTTGGCCCGTCGCCTGGCAGCCTACCCCAACAGCGAGCTGAGCGACGTGCACGAGATGCTGCAGAACACATTCCTGGCCAAGTTCATGCCGGCTCTGTCGCGCACCGCCCTGGAGCAGGTCATGCAGCAGGTGGGCATCCAACCCAGTGCAGAGAAGAGAAGGAACAGCAGCACCACCGGACAGATTGCCGTTGAGGGGAACACCTTGAGGATTGGAGAGACGCGCATGGAGTTGGGAAATCCCAGCCAGGCGCAAAGATCGAAGGTGCCCAGCACGCTGTTCTACGAGATGCCGCAGCACGTGGAGCTGCTGGAGCGACTGCTGCAGGACTATCTAATCGGTGACCACTTGCTGCTCGTGGGCAACCAGGGCGTGGGCAAGAACAAGCTGATCGACCGCTTGCTGGAGCTGATGCAGCGGCCGCGCGAGTACATTCAGCTGCATCGGGACACCACTGTGCACAGCCTGACGCTGCAGTCGACGCTGCAGGATGGCCAGGTGGCCTACGAGGACAGCGCCCTGGTCAAGGCTGTGCGCTCCGGCCATGTGCTGGTGGTGGACGAGGCAGACAAGGCGCCTGTGAATGTCACCTGCATTCTGCGCACTCTGGTGGAGAGCGGGGAGATGGTGTTGGCCGACGGCCGACGGATTGTGCCGCATGGCGCTGCTGGATCGCTGCCCAACTGCATCGAAACTCACCCAGAGTTCCGGCTCATCGTGCTGGCCAATCGTCCCGGCTTTCCCTTCTTGGGCAACGACTTTTTCGCCGCACTCGGCGACGTCTTCAGCTGCCATGCCATCAGCAATCCCCAGCCGGAGTCCGAGATCTATCTGCTGCAGCAGTACGGCCCCAGTGTGCCCACCAAGACGCTGCGTACGCTGGTGAACGCCTTCGGAGAGCTGCGCAGCCTGGCGGACGAGGGAATGCTCAACTATCCGTACTCCACCCGGGAGGTCGTCAGCATTGTGAAGCATTTAGAGCGCTATCCCGAGGAGAGCATAGCGGATGTGGTCGGCAATGTGCTTGACTTCGATCGCTATCAGCCGGAGGCGCTGCAGCAAGTCATTCAGGTGCTGGCCAAGCACGGCATCGAGGCATACGCCCTGGACGAGGTGCAAATGCTGCGCCAGCGGAAGACACTACAAGCATCGGTGGAGCGGCACAGCGGCTTGGGGGTATCCGGCCCGAAGTTCGGCAAGATCGATCCCAAGAATGAGCCGCATGTGGGCGGCAACACCTGGGCTGGCGGCAGTGGGGGACGCGACACTGCCGGACTGGGCGGCAAGGGTGGACCATTCCGGCTCGACAAGGGACACAAGGTGCATCAGCTGAGCGACGAGGAGAAGGCCGACGTTCCCGAGGAGATTAAGAAGGCGGCACGCGAAATGAACCGCAAAGCCTTCGAGGAGAAGCTCAAGGAGATCAAGATGTCCGCCCACGATCACAAGCTGTACGCCCAGTTCAGCGAGCCCAATCGGAAGCAGGTGCAGCAGCTGAAGGCCGTGCTGGAGGCCATGCAGACCAAAAGCAAGGAGCGACAGTGGCAGAAGTATCAGACGCATGGCGAACTGGACGATACACGACTGGTGGAGGGCATCACCGGCGAGAAGAACATTTACAGGCGGCGAGCCGAGGCAAATCCCTGGGCGGACCACGTCCAAGAGAAGCCAAATCGTCTCAAGCTTGTCGTGGATGTTTCCGGCTCCATGTACAGGTAGGTGGCGACCTCAGTTTTGCCTTACATTTCTCAATTATTTTTCTTTGATGCAGATTCAACGGATACGATGGACGGCTGGACCGACAGCTGGAAGCGGTGGTCATGGTAATGGAAGCCTTTGAGGGTTTCGAGAAGAAGATCGTGTACGACATCGTCGGCCACAGCGGCGAGGGCTGGGAAATACCCTTTGTAAACGTGGGCAGCGCCCCCAAGAACGACAAGGAGCGCTTCGAGACGATCCGCATGATGCACGCCCACTCGCAGTTCTGCTGGTCCGGCGACAGTACTGTGAAGGCAGCGCGCGAGGCCTGCACCAGCCTGGGCGCCGAGGATGACTATGACAATGCCATTGTTGTGGTCCTCAGTGATGCGAATCTATCGCGCTACGGCATTGCGCCCAAGGATCTGGCGTTGGCCCTCAAGAGGGGCGAGCCCAAGGTCAAGGGCTATTCCATATTCATTGGCAGCCTGGCCGAGGAGGCCGACAAGTGAGTCGAGCGCTCTCTCCTACTCATTTCTCAGATACTAATTTACTTCTCTCTCTCTACAGAATTAATTCGGAAATGCCGGCGGGACAGAGCTTCGTCTGCATGGACCTCACCAAGCTACCTCACATTCTCCAGCAGATATTCACATCCTCGCTGCTGTAGAGTCACTTTGGGACCATCATAAAAAGTAAATTAGGAGGCGAATTTAGTTACATTTAAATGTGGATAATGTTTTGTGGATGATTAGCTGAATTATTGTTCTATTCGTTTGTACATAAATCGATTGTTGTACTGTAAATAAATAACAAATAATTAAATTAAAATAAATCATAATAGAATTGATTAAAGATAATGCATAATAATATATGCAGGGAGGGAATAAATACACCTCAAATGGTTTCGCATTATTATTTGTATTATTTATTAATTGCCTTTTGCTGTTTATGTTTGCTATTTGATTACTTGTCATATCATTTACAAATTACATATATGTAAGTATTGAATACATAAAAAAAAAATCAATTTAGAGCTCGTGGATTTACTTCGCTACTTCTGCTACGTCCTGGGCCGCTCTCTCTTTCGCTCTCGTTTTCTACACCTTTTCCTACTAGCATGGTGGGCGGATGGTGGAGAGGACAGGGGCAGGGACAGGGGTATACAAAAATGAAACAATTCACGATTTTTGCATTAATAAAAAGTTGGTATAAAAATCTAAAACAATTTCATTCTCCGCATCTGTTGTTACATTTTACATTACATTAATTGTATTTGTTTTTTTCTTCTTGGTTTTCGTTTTTCGTTTGCCGTGTGTTTTTTTTTTTGGATGTACATATTTTTGTATGCATTTCTGTATGAATATTAAATATTGTTGCAAATTCATGAATTAATGTGTTAGCAAAAACGCTTAAGAATATGCTAAGTATATATTTCTATATATACTATTGATCCTCTATATAGTCTAGGCAAAGTTGATTCCTTGCAAATTCTCATGATCTGGGGGGGAGAGGATTTGTTCGGGGTTGTGTTTGGGGATCTTTTTCCTTAAACATCTATCTATATATATGTATATGTATATGTATATGTGTATATGTATCTTTCGCCAATTGGTGCAGCAAACAAAAAGGAATATAAACATAAGTATAAGCAAATACATAAGTCGCAGATTCCACTTGGATCTCAGGTGTGTGTGCTTTATTACAATTTTAGGGCTTTTGTTTGCCTGGATGAAAGCTGAACGCAACCATAAATGGATTTAACATGGAACAGACTGATGGATCGATCCACAAAGACAAGACACAGACACGACACTGGACATATGCATGGATAATTTACGTACACACCGATCGGTATAAAAGCTAACGTTATCTTAAAAACATAACAACAAAGTCTAACTCTATGTATATACACATAAGCATGCACACACACACGTGGTGGATAGATAGAAGACTGGAAGCTGGAACCAAAGAATCTTGTGTTTGCACTCCACTCCACGCACAACATATTTCATATACATACATAGTACATACTGGTACGTAGACCACACCCACACCCACACCCATACCCACACCCACACACACACACACACACTAAGCTTACATACATATATGTACACGAAAATCAAAACTTATCTGAATTGGACGACATTAAAGTTACACACAGACCATTGCGGCACCGGTTTCGGGTTTTCTTAAGAGGTACAACAAATTATAATAGTCAAAATGTACTCTACCGCACTGCCTGTTACCATATACAGTGCGTTTCAGGGCTGTGGGAAGCGCTCTCGCTCTCGCTCTCGCTCTCTCTCGTTCTATAAAGCTTTCGATTGCAGTTTGTTAACGTTTAAAATCGAATGTCTAATATTAAATATAAAATAAAATTAAACATTTGAAAGCTAGAGCAAACAATTCTTTGAATCAACGAATAGAGAATTGAATTTGGCAATTGACGAACGAAGAATATGCTGTCGTTTGAATTATTTCAAGGTGATGGCTTGGTGAAATAAATCCATTACTTTCTGGAACATTTTGGGATACACAGACATACCAATTCCAAACAAATATCGGAGCTATTATAGCACACGATTTACACACACTTACATATATGTATTGCTGCTATAAGCACATTATATGGCATACATATACGTACATGCAGATGGTTTACATACATTTAATCTACTTAAGACACTGCCTTAAATATACATATGTGCATAAGTAATGTTGTTTCTTTTATTGGCCACTGGTTTGCCTAAGAGTGTGTGCTCCAAACGAAGGTAGATTTCCTAATCTCACAGCTATGGAAACGCCCTGTATAGGCCACCTGCACGTGTACAAAGTATTTCAATTGTTTTTTGCATTTCTTATCAAATTTCATGTTCGTTTTTTGTTGTTTTTGGTTCTTTTTCGTTACTTTTCTTGCTGCTGAATTCGTATCATAATATTGACCATATAAATGCTTACGGGTGATGAGAATGATAAATATTAAAAGAGAGTGGATCTTGTAAAAATGAATAATCATAAAAACAAAGCATAGAAATGCATAATAATAATAGTTAAAAGCTATAGCTACAACAGCAGTACGCAAGCGGTCCATGCACACACATATCTGGCATACGTATATGTACACACATATGTATATAACTTAGATATATACAATTTAAAATAGATTAAAAAAAAACAAACAAATATAAGAAGAGACTGGGCTCGGGTGGATCAACTCAAAAGAAGGTTGAAAATTTTCGTTTGTTCGGCATTTGAGGGTTCTGGTGGTTCTGGTTATGAAGTTGCTGCTGCTGCTGCTGCGTCTGCGGATGCTGAGGCTGATGCGAATTGTGGTGGTAGCTGCCAAAGCCGTTGCTCAGCTGCTTTACGGGCAGCACCGGCACCGAGGCATAGGCCGCTGGCTCCAACAATTGCTGGTGCTGAATCTGCTGCTGCTGCTGCTGCTGTGACGGCTGTGGCTGCTGATGTTGGCATAAGAACTGCTGGTTGAGAGCAGCAATTGGTTGAGCTGTGCCTGTGACTGCAGCTGGGGCAGGATGGTGGCTGCTTTTGGAGGCGGGTGGCATTAGGAGAACGGGCACAACCACGGGTTATACGGAGATCTCGTAGTTCATGTCGTAGATGCTGGCCCGATCGGGCGTTGCCGAATTGGAGGCATTCTGCATGAGATGCGCATTGCTCTGTGGCTGAGATGCGCTCACGGGTGGCGCCACGCCGCTGGGCAGGCCGCCGTTGTTGTGCTGCTGGTGCTCGAGCGACTGCATCTCCATGGAGTCGGTCATCTCCAGGGCGCGCACAAAGCTCATGGGCCGTGTCGGTGTCTGCTTGCGCTTAATTTGTGGCGAGGGCTGTGTCTGCAGGGTGCCCGCCGCACTGCTCACACTGACACCGACCAGCGGATTGGGCGGGAAGACGGGTACACCTCCGCGGAGCGCTGGCTGATACCCACCGCCACCGGCCGCACCACCTATCGAAGGTCCGCTGGCCGACACGCTGGCAATGCTGCCGCTGCTCCCTCCGGCGGCCCCTCCGTAGCGCAGAACGTAGCCCGTTTGTGCTGTGGAGGCCTGCGGCATTGTCGTGGGACTCGTGGGGTTCGAGCGATGATATGAGGCAGCTGCTGCCGCCGCAGCCACTGCCGCCTGTTGGTGTTGCTGTTGTTGTTGTTGTTGCTGCTGTTGCTGCTGCTGCTGCTGTTGCTGCTGCTGAACTGCGTAGTCCTGCAGACGCGAGTGCGTCATGATGAGCGGATGCGTGCCTCCTCCAGCCGTAATGTACTGAGCGTGCGGCACCACCCCGGACGAGTTTCCGCTGCTCGGCAGCGTGCCAGCACTACTGCCAATGCCACTCACAGCGGCCTGTTGTTGCTGTTGCTGCTGCTGTTGGGCCCCGCCGGCGCTGTTGGTGCTGAAACCTGGCGAGGTGTCCTTCCACATGTAGACACCGCGCTGTGGGCTCCCAGCCAGCTCGCGTATGTTATCCACCGTATTGTTGGAGCGGGCGTAGGACAGCTCGTTGCCACCGCCCTGTCCCTGCCGCACCAGCTCCCCTTCAGAGAGGAAGCGGCGCTGGGGACTGCCACCGTAGGCAGCCTGAGCCAATGCTGCGTGCTGCGGATGTGCCGCATGAGCTGCAGCTTGCTGTTGTTGTTGTTGCTGCTGCTGCTGCTGCTGCAACGCTGCAAGTACATACAGATAAAGATATAGAGAGAGCGAGAGATAGAGAGAGAAGGTGCCCACCTTGCTGCTGCTGCTGTTGATGCTGCATGAGGACTCGTTGCTGCTGGAGCAAGAGCTGTTGCTGCTGCTGCTGAATGGTCGGCGCCTGTGGATGCTGCGGCGGCAGTCCGCTGGTGTACTCATAGTATGCTGCCGCTGCAGCCGCCGCCGCTGCTGCCTGCTGTTGTTGTTGTTGTTGTTGTTGTTGCTGCTGCTGTTGGGCCACTGCTGCCGCCGCTACAGCCGCTGCCTGGGCATTCAGGCCAATGAAGTCGGGACGTCTCGGTTGCGTGGGCGTGCCCGGATTGGATCTGCGGAGTGATGAATAGTGACAAAGGCACACATTAAACATTGGAGCGAAGTGTGGACAGAACGCAGAACGTAGCGCTAGAGCAACTGTTAGGCGACAAATGCATTTAGTTATGCATTTATGTGCACATATTTATATGTGGGTATGCGAAGTTGAAGGGCGTGTAAGTGTGATGGACGATTATATTCGCTTCGATTCTGTTTTAGTTACTCCAACAATACAGTTTTTAGAGTACAGCTGGAACCTCCAGCAGTTAGTAACAGTTAGACACAGAGAATTACAGCGATTGCAGCAATGGCACACACAGACACACAAAATGCTTACAGAATCACAGATGTAGCTCTGATCCGCAATGTTTAATCACCGATTGGTTAGCCCATTGCCTTCGCTTCGGACTCTTAACTCATGTGAGGAGTTGCAGTAGTTATTGATGATGGAAATTAAGCAAAAGTTATTCAAAACAGATTACACATGGTGGATGATAAATCAGAGACTGGCACTATCTGTGCTCCATTCGAAAGATAAATCCACACACAGTTTGAGGACAATCCTCATGGGATAATGGTAAAATGGCATGGTTATCGATAGGTTAATCGCACGTTAATCGATGAACACGGGTAAATACAAGTATGCATCGAATGGTAAGCTTTATGCGTTTCAGTACTGGTTGTTTTTTCTCTTAATATTACAATTACACATGAGAAATGCCCAGCACCAGCTCGCTGGTCGATGTTGATTGGGTTGATTGGGTTAAGTGAATGAACAGCGATTTCCACTTCTTTGCAATGAACCACAGCCCACAGAGGAAAGAGAACGTAGATTGTGGGCATACTTGGAAAATGTGTCTCTTCTCTCCTTTTAGTCTTTCTTCCAGGCGAAACGTTCAGCAATTGTACCCTGGAAGCCGCTATGGGCCACGGCCTGAACAAAGTCCACCACAGTGCGCGGCACATCGGAGCGCACCACCTTCACCGCGATGTGCAGCAGATTGACAAGGCCGTAGAGCACAATGCCGAAGAAGATGATGGGCGCCAGGATGAGCTTGGTGTGGATGGAGTGGCGAGTGTTGTCCTCGAAGTCGAAAAACTCGCACAGGTTGTCGGGGCCCAGCAGGCGCCGGCGTATCATCAGCACCTGTTCCTTGAGCCAGCTGAAGTACCAGCACAGGAACAGCAGAATGTTCGATGCCAGGTAGCCCAGTACGAAGCCGATCAATGTGATGTAGTCCATCTTGGACGCGGAACGATCCTCTTGGACGAGCACTTCAAGCTCTCTTCCGCTGTAAGGCAGCATGTAAGGGCCAGGCGCCTGCTTAGCTGCCTTGCCCTGATCCATCCTGTCCACGTGATCGCTTTCGTTGTCGTTGTCAGACTCCTTGTAAGACTCCTCGTCCTCCTCAGATGTGGTTGGCAGCGTCGCACCTCTGCTCCCGAATCCGCCCCTGGTGTGGGGCGATTTGTTCCATGCATTCCGCATCCATCTGGCACGCTGTCCGCCGGTGGCCGACTGCAACTGATTCAAAGCGTCGCTAAGAACCGAGGACCGAACGCCTGCCTCGAGCGTGTGGTCGCCACCAGCTGCTTCAAAGCCAAGGTCGTCGATTCTTGCGACACCGCCACCGCCACCGCCCTGCAGGCGACTTAAATTCGCGTGGAAGCATCGCCCAGCCAGGCTCCTGTCAAACGGACGCAGGGCACGGAGTCGCGACTGGTGCGCGTTCGCTCGTTGTTCGTTGTTCATCGCGATGGTTGGTTGGTTGTTGGTTGTTGGTTGTGTTTATTATGGATAGTTTATAGAGTGAATGGGACCGAATCGGGGTCGAGAAATTGTGTGTGAACAGCAGCCAAATATCAACTAAAAATTGGAATTTAGTTTTTGCGCAAAGTTTACGATTTTGAGATCTGTTCTGTGTTGAAAACTGTATGGAATGAATGGCCAAACTGAAATCAATTCGAGCGACATTTGGGACCAAACGAAGGCCTACTTCTTCCTACAAATTCCAGTGTGCTAACTGGAAAGGAAACAAAGTGACAGGTGACAGCTTACAGGAGGGTAAACAAGGCGAAAAGAAAAGAGAGATAGAGAGAGAGAACATGGACACAACGTTGTAAATATGTAAATGTGTTTTAAAACTGTTCCATGGCATTCAGATATTCAAATGTTCAAATCTATAAAAGTTATTTTGTAATTACAGAATGGTATCCCATAGAGGACTTTGTGGGCCGCAAATCAGCAATGGGTTCGGAGGTTTGCCTGGAGCGACTGCAGATAATTCCTGATCCTCGTGGATATCATATTTATGTACATATTTATGTATGCATGGGGGATGTTGTTGAGGGTGGTGTGTATGACTGAGGGCAAAAGGCGGACGCAAACAAAACGGAATAAAGAAACTCTGACAGTACTGAAGAATCAACGAAAATGAACGAAACGAAACGAAACGAAACAAAATAGAAAGAAGAAAGAAAATCAAACTCACCTCACGCGCGGCACAAGGAGTGTGTGAAGGTTACAGGGTGCAGCACGTGGCACGTAGAACGGGGGCACAAGGAGTGTAGTAGTAGTAGTAGTGGTAGAGAAGGTTTATACAGGGTGCAGCACGTGGCTGGCTCGTGTTGATGGTTGCAGAAGTGCATACATAGTTGGGTAATTGATAGAACAAGTTTAAGAGCGATAAAAAGAGAAAGAAAGGCGACGACGACGATAACAACGGCTTTGACTCGTGGTTTACTCTGTGGGTGTGTGTGTGTGTGTGTGTGTGTGTGTATATATATCATTTGATCCTTGTGGGGGTGTGTTTTACTTATCTTTTTTATTGACTTAACTGTACTTTATTTAGATATTAGATTTATTGCTTTTGTTTCTTTGATTGGTTTTGTTGTTGTTGTTGCTGTTGCTGTTTGTCAGTTGGTTGGTTTTATCGCGGTATTTCGGTTCTCATTAGGTTCTTAGGCTTAGGAATTAGTACTGTTCTCAGAATTTGAGTATTGACTTCGGTACACAAACAAACAAAAAATAAGAAAACGAAAAAGAAAAAGTTGGAAAAATAATTAGTTCATAAGGTAAGGTGGTGCACACAGAAAAATCATGGTTCATGGTACATATAAAAAGGGGGGTGGTGAAAGGAAGCAAATGGGAATGAGAATAAGAATGGGCACACACAAGGGACGAAAAGGGCGGCAGGGTGGCAGGGTGGCATATGTGCAAAAGCAGCGGCCATTGAACCCGCCGATGGGCATCTCTGTCGCAGGCCTTTCTCGGAACGGAGTGTGTAGCCTTCTCTGTTCTATCTATGTGCATATTTAACTAGTGGACGCTTGGAACAAAAGTGAGTGCGGGAGGGAAGGGAGCAGGAAAGCTTAGCTTAAAGCTTGGAGTACCGGTCATCGATGCATAGAAAGCGGTAAACGAGCGATAGCTGAGCTAAGCTAACGGAAATGCATACGAAGCAAAGGGACACAGAGAGAGCGACAGAGGCCATGTGCGCCGTGAGAGGAGAGGAAAGACAACGAACGAGAGGAATGCAAAGCGATGCAGGAGCAAAGGTAACGGTAAACACGGTTATTCGATTGAATTTCAGCTGCAACTACTCGAGACACGCAGACAAGCACACACACGCACACACATATCGGATTTAAGCGAGTAAAAAGGTACAACAACAACAAGAGCAGCAATAGGGAAGGGGAGCACTGGGTGAGCGAGGAGTAGCTAGCATGAGGAGCGAGAGATGGGGAGGGGGAGGGGGAGGGGGAGTGGTGGGAATGGAGAGACTCACCTTCGCACTGGACTTGCCATCACCAGGGGCGTTGCCACGCCCAGCGGCTTAATTCGTTGCTGCATGGTGGGTGTGGCGGTGGTCGTCCCGCTGCGTTGATTTTGTGCTGCTGCCGCCGCCACTGCAGCCGCAGCCGCTGCTGCCGCTATAGCCTGTTGCTGCTGGACACTGACGCCGACGCCGACGCCATAGCCAACGTTGACGCCGCCGGGATGGTCCGGCGAAAGAGCATCGCTCGTATAGCCGCGCTGTGGATCTAGTCCCCTGAGAATGCAACAACAAGACAGATCAGTCGTGACCACAAAGACAGACAGAGAGAGAGAGAGAGGGAGAGTTGGGCTAATTTCTCACCTGGGTCGCGCATGCGGACTGTGGCGCGGATGGTAGAGACGCATGTGCCGGGGCGAGTCGCCTCCACCGCCTCCGGCAGTGCTCTGGGAGTTGGGCATGCCCGTGGCTATGCTGCCGTTGAGGCCGCCACCGCCGCCGCCGACGCCGACGCCGTCGCTCACCTGCGGCAGGTAAAAGTTGCTTGAGTTATGGCGCTGCAGCGGCGGCGTCGGCTCGCAGTCTTGGCTCTGTGAGGCGGGTGGCGGCTCCAGATCCGTGTCGGAGCACTCTCGTCCGGGCGATAGCTGTGGATTATCAAAGTAATTATCGTAAAGACGGAGATTAGTTATCGATTGACAGATCGAAACGGCAGCAGAGATCGACACAGACTTAGCCCTACATTTAGTTGCGTTCGTTTCCAAACAAAACAAAAACAATAATTGTAATAAGAATAGAAAGTAGGAGAAATAGAAGTAGACGTAGACATAGATATAGACGGAAATGAAGGAAAATGAAGGAGGTGAAAACGTATACGAAAACGAGGTGAAACATAAAAATTGTACACAAAATGTGGTCATGAGAGGGGATCGGGGGCTGTGGCTGTGTTGGTGTGTGTGTGTGTGTGTGTGTGTGTGTGAGTGGAACTCCCCACCGGAAGGGAGCAGAAGGGACTGAGAGGGTCGTCCCCCAAAGGCCCAACATAAACTGAACGCAAGGCCTCGCTGGAGTATCAATTATCATTTAGTTTTTAGCAAGGGAGCAGGGTAGAGAAAAGAAGGAAAACTTGAATGGGTTTGGGAAAACTGCGAAACGAAAATGGTCAAAGTGGTAAATTCAGAATAAGGACGAAACCGACGATTACCCTTGCAGGCAGAGATATTCCCAATGGACAACGTATCAGTGATCAGTGATCAGTGATCATTGAGCAGGTATCGTGTTTTTGTGTTCTTGAGAATGTAGATGATGGATTCCTTCGTAGATATCAAGAAAAGATAGTGTACGATCCTTTTCTAATGTTATTTTTGCCTTATCCATAGCCACTAATCATGTGAACAGAACCATCGAAGGAACACTGATCACTGATTACGGATTAAGACAGACGAGGCAGCAGACAAGCTCAAGGAGAGAGCATCGGAATATTTTTGTGGTTTTCCTGCTACTGATTTTTACATTTTCACATTTGCTAGTGTACTGTTGAGAGAGACACAGAGAGACATAGAGAGAGAGAGAGGGAGAGGGAGAGCTGTAGCTAGAATTTGAGAGAGAGAGAGAGAGAGAGAGCGCGAGCGCGAGATAAAGATAGGGTGTGCGAAGGAGGAGGGGTAAGGAAGAGTACCAAATTTTGAGAGAACAAAAATATAATTGTATTTGTAATGGAAATCATAAGAGGACAACAAGTTGAAATCAATAATTCTCGTTGGAAAGTCAAGGTCAAGGTCAATCAATCAATCATGAATCAAAAATAAATACGGAATACAATTTTGATTTGTTTTTTGTTTTTGGTTTTTAGATAGTTTTTACCTTTCTCGGTGCTCGCAGTAAGTGTAGAGTATTTTGTTCATTTGAGTTTTATTTTGTAGTCTTTCTTTTCTTTTGAGTTGTTTTTCGAGTTTCGACCAATTCTTTTCGATATAAGTATGTATGCTATATGGTTCTATATATATGTATGTACTATGTATATGTATGTACGTCTGTAGTACTGTTTTAACACGACACACGACGACAGTTCTGAAGCATGAACATACATACAAAACGTAGCTGGCCCAATCGGGCCAAAGCCTTCTAGTAGAACACGAAACGGAAAGGGAAACGGAAACAGCAACAGAAACGGGTTAAAATGCCCAAACGGAAGCGGGTCAACTAAATATGTATGTGGTAATGGGTGTCAATCACAAAGCAACGCAAATAATACGGGATTACGGGAATACGGCAAATCAACAGGTTCATCCGCCTGCATGCAAAAGTGACAGGAAAAGGGCGTGGGGGAAAGTGTTGAAGGATGTGGCGGTAGAAACAATAAATGGAATAAAAACAAGTGAAAACTAAAAACAACAACGGCTAGCCGAAGTTCTACCTCTACCAGTCGAAACTTATCGTAGTCCGACGAGAGCACGCTCCCAGCAGAAACTTTGATCCGCAGTCCGGACTATGGACATGGTACATGGCGTCTCATTTTACTTCAGTAAACGTTGAAATTTAATGCAATTTTAAGTAAAAGGGTTTTCATCACTGAAGGTTAATATCCGCATATTTAGATTGCACAATTTGACTCTAATTTGACTAGCCAACTATTATTCACTTAATATTTACTCCCGGAATGGGTATCCATGCCGAAACTTTTCGTTTCCATCCTTTGGCATTTGGCTCAGGAATCGTGGAATCAGACAACAGCAAACGGAAATGATTTCGACCAGTCACAGAAGTTGTACTACATTGAGGTGCATCCAAAATATTTATAGTCCGTAAATGGTATTTGTGTTAGGCCTAAGTAAAGGACGATGAAATTGTACATGGATGAAGGGAGGAGGTTGTTAATTTATTTTACAAATGCATGTGGGGGGAGGAGTAGATACGATATATGTTTGGCTATAAGTTTCCGCAAAGAAGGAGAGCCAAAGCGACTGGCAATAGCCGTAGCATTAGCATGGGCAAAGAAACGAGAAGAAAGTAGACAGAGAGAGAGAGAGAGAGGAGGTATGTGCGTGTGAAAACTTTTCTTTGGCCCCACAATGGTCCTGTAATGGGTGTGGCCTTAACCAGCAGCAGACTGATGATGGAGATGGCGGGTAACCAGGGAAAAACTCTCTTTCTAGCCCAAAGCAGAGAAGAAAAAGCGGAAAAGCAGAGAAATAAAAGCCATTCGACCGTAAGTGCAGTGCAGCAGCCAAAAGGAAAATAAATTAATGTTTGCAGTGCAGATAGTGGGGGATTGTGGGGCATGGAGGGGGAGTTAAGGTGCAGGACTAGACATGGTGGCACGACACGGACACACACCACAAGGACAGGCTGAGATAGTCGTACCTCAGAGAGTTAGTTAGTCTCTTTATTCTCATAGATTATTGCATACAAATGTTTATAGGTATTTACCCTATACAGTGAACCACCATCCCCAGGTGTCAGGTGGTAGAATTCAGTCATTTGTTGGTATTTTAGAAGTAGTGGCAGACGGACAATAGTTACTTTTCCAATAAGGAGACAACACCAATATCAATGTTAATTAGTTGCCAGTCCTTGTTGCACTCCCAAAGAGTATTGTCCGTTAAATAGAGCCTTCACTGTACTGTGGTATTACGAGAATATTTACATTTTTGACTCACATCATTAAAAGTAGTTGGGGTTGGGGTTCGGGCGATACGGGGATCAGAGCAAATGATAAATGAGCAACAGAAGGAGAGGATCCAAAGAGGATTCAACGAGAGAAAGGGAAGGAGAAGGAATTTAGAGAGCGAAATTTAAGCGAAAAAAAAAACAGAAATAACGGAAACAAAATAGAAACAAAAACAGAAACAAACAACAGTTAACGGTAACAATTACGCTTCAAAAATAATATTAAAAACACCAATTACAAAAATGACAACAACTAATTAGCTAATTCAAGTAACAAACAACAGGTGGCGCCAGCCATCCCCCATTCAGCTATTGAAAGCTGAAGGAAAGAACGAGATTTCCGACACCACCTGAAGGACCGACCGCAGGTGGTGCCGCCAATAAGAGGGGGATTGCTGTCGCCATCCGGATAACACTATGGGGTATAGGATATGTATTGGGTATATTAGTTAGAAACAATAGATACAATAGGATACATAGATATATGTAATGGGAATCTGTTCTTTTGTGGCTTTGCATTAATTTGCTGGCTCTTTTGAATGAGTTTGATTTGATTTGAAGTTTGAAGTTTGTCGAAGTTTTTGGTTTTTTTGGTTGCAAAAATGGTTGACTTGTTTTTTGTTTACCCACCTTACTGTAAAGCGTTGTGCTGCCCGACCGTTGATTATAACCATTGCCCTCGGCCATATAAGTCTTTACCTGAATTCCGCGCTTCTCCCGACTCGACTCGTAGTAGGAGCGGGGCGAATACTGCACCGCTGTACCACGCATACCGCCACCGGCACCGACGCCGACGCCGCCGCCGCCGCCACTGCCACCACCACTGCCGATGGCAGCAGCAGCAGTCCCGTTGCCACCGGGACCACCGCTGGAATTGTTCTGTTGATTGTTGGTCCGATCGTTGCATATCGTGCTAATGGCCTGATTCTGGGTCTGCGATCGCCTCGATTCGTACTTCTTTGGGTTGAGTAAGCTGTGAGTGAGAGTGTAGAGCAGAGAGTGTATTAAGTATTACAAATCACCCGATGGACTGCACGATCTCTGCTGCTGACTCTGCTGTCGACTTTGCTGTCTCTCCTATGTTCATGCTGTGGTTCTGCTCTCCGCTGTTAGTAGTAGTTCTGCTGTTACTGCTGTTGCTCTGTTATGTTACTCTGCTGCTAATCTACATAGATCTGCTGTGGCTATGCTCTCTGCTGTAAGTGGTAGTTCTGTTGTTACTGCTGTTGCTCTGTTATGTTACTCTGCTGCTAATCTACATTGATCTGCTGTTGCTTTGCTGTCTGCTGTTAGTGGTAGTTCTGCTGTTGCTCTGTTCGTTGCTCTGCTGTTAATCTACATAGATCTGCTTTTACTTCTGTTGCTTTGCTCTCTGCTGTTATTAGTAGATATAATGTTACTGCTGTTGTTCTGCTGTTAATCTACATAGATCTGCTGTTTCTTTGCTCTTTGCTGTTTAGTCTACATATTCCCGTTGTTCCGCTTCTTTTGCTGTTCTACTGTTAGCACTGTTCTGCCAAATCTCTACACGTACTGTTAATCTCCATATGTAATTCTGCTATTTCTACTGTTCTCTGGAGCTGCTGCTCCATGCGTTTATTAAGAGTAAAATAAGTCCTGAATGTACATTTGCTAATTTAGCAGCCGCTTAAGCTTTGATGTGAATGCAACTGACAGGGCAATCTAAACACGCCTAGACATTTTGACAAGTTAAATCTAACGATTTAAATAAATTGAATAAATATGAGTTGTACGACTTGCAACATTTCATTTCGAATTTCGCGGAAGTGTGTGTGTGTGTGTGTGTGTACTGAGTGTACCTGATTGGCATTTGTGGCTAGCAATTAGCAATGGGCCAGAGAGACAATTGTTTCCATTCAAGCGTTGAGCAATCAAAGTGAACAACCACAAATCGATATCATCTGGAGCCCACACACATTCCCAGCCGAACCACCTCAACCCACCCTGCCAGTGGGCACTGGTGGTGGTATGGTGGGATTGGATACTCACCTTGGATACTGTGGTCCAAACTGTGTGTAGCAGCAGTTGTGCCAGCAGCCGCGCGAGAACGGATTGTAGCCGCCCTTGAACTTGCCCGTGACCTGCTCGTTGGTCGTGCGACCCCGTGACACCAGCACCATGTGGAAGCCGGTCAGGCCGAATATGGGTATCGCCAGAACGGTCACAAGGCCCATCAGTATCATGCTGTAGAGTTAAGTGTTAAGGGAAACCATACAGACACAAACATATGTAAATCGTAGGGAGGAAACACTTTCTCCCCATACGAACTCTACTTAGATATTAATTAATGTGCTTTTGCTTTGTGTTTTTGGTAAAGGATACGCTACAATGGGCGCCGTGTCCTTGATGTTGGGCATTATCTTGAGCACATAGACCAGGCACAGCGAGAATATACTCAGCATGTGGATGGAGAGTGAGACGAGGAAGAAGAAAAAGAATCGATAGTTCCTCCGGCCAATGCAGTTGTTCACCCACGGGCAATGATGGTCAAACGTCTGTTGAGTAGAAAACAAAACAAATCAGAATCAGTATCAGAAATGAGGCGAATTTCCCAACAAGAGGATCGCACTTACCTCTATACAGTGATTGCATACGGAACAGTGGGAGCAGCGGGGCGGGCGATAGAACTTGCAGGTGACGCACCATTTCATCTTGACGGTGATGCCGTTGATCTCAGCATTCTTGTAGAGCGGGGCGCGCAGCTCCTCCTCGCAGTCTTCGTCGGGTGAGGCTAGAATGCAGTCGAAGTTTAGGCTGTGCGGACTGGCGCCGTACCTCGCTTAGCACGCTACATACCTTTGGGTATAATGCCCGGGTCCATGAACGTTGCCAGCGTAAAGTTGGCCAGCACGAAGAATGTGATGACACCCTGGTAGGCTAGCACCCATGGTTGGCTCTTCACGTAGTACTGGCAGCTGTAAAAAAACAAACAAAATATAACAATGAAAAAATTGCTGCTTATAGGGTGTGCGAATAGTCTATACATATCGCGGGATGTTTTACGTAATCATTCAAAGCTGTTACAGAGGCTCAAAGTCCCCACCACCTCAGAGAACGCCTCTAATTTCACAGCAAACATTGGGAAAGGAAGCGGCGTGGGGTGACCATTAAATAGAGTCAAACAACTAGCGGCGAGCCACTTCGAACTGGCCACCAACCAGCAGGAGATGCCTCACCCCGCACAGTTACAGAGACCGCCCGTGGGGTCGCCGCAATCACTTTGGAGTGTACTGAACCGGAACTGGAACCGTTTTCCCCTCCACTACTGCCAACCATTGGCCCACTGCCAAGCCAAGGCTCGACCCGCAGGCCGCATCCTGCATCCTGCAACCGAGAGCAGCAGCAGGCCCTGTGCCCTGAGCCCTGAATGTTGCCAGCCAACACAAAACACGTGTCCTTTAGCCCATTTCCATTTCCGTCTGTCCTCGCTGTCTCCACTCTCTCGCCCCACGACCACCAGCCGACAGATGCATTTGCAATGATGTCCGGGACTTGTGTACGGGTTTGCGGGTTTCGGTGTACGGTTTACGTCTTTCGGGTTACGGGTTACGGGTTACTTAAGGTGAATGTATTACTTTTTCCGCAATTCTCACTGCATTACGGATTGCTTGGGCATGCACAAAGCCATACCGCAGGAAAAGTTCCAATGGCAGCAGCAGCAGCATCATCATCAGTCTGAATCAAGCGGCGGCATGGGATGACCTACAGCTGTCATGGGGTTGGTAGGGTATATCGAGCAGCAGGTTCATACTCTTTGCAATCCTCTCATGTGCATGTATGGATCGACTACTTAGCTGGGAGTTACGCCTTTCCCAGCCCCAAGAAGTTGCAAGGGTATTTTGTAGCTGCCTCCCTGGAGCGAGTTGAAAAGGCTTTCGCTTTGGCTTTGGCTTTTTATTATTATACTCTCACTTCCTCTCACCCTCACCCTCACCCACTTACCCCTACAGACTGGCAATTGCCTGCAGTGAAAGCTTTCAAGTGCAGGCAGGCAGCAGGTGAAGCGAAAGGAGAAACGAGACGGTGCAGAGCAGAGAGGGAGGGAGTCTGTGCTTCCGAAGAAGATTTCCAAATGTCGCTCGAAGCAATTGCACACAAATTTTCACACTTCACTATTGCCATTACCTGCGCTCGCTGCCCCTGTCCCTCTCCCTCTGCCACTCCTCCACCTACTCATTCTCATTCTCCTTTCCCTGTTCCGTTAACTTTCGGGAACTGCTTCTATTTTTCTGATTTATTTCTGTGCATTATTATCGCTTTTTGTTTACCGTTAACAAATGTAACGAAACAAGAACAAAAAGCCTCACCTCACTCCTCACCCTGTTGTTGTTATTCTTCCCCAACCCCCTCCACACACTATTCGTGTGCCACCCGTTATTTGCATAGAACTTTTGGAATGCAAATAAACTCGAATGCAACTGAGGCTGCCGCTGCCCCTCTGCAGCTCTCGGAGCACGTGCCAGGGATTTATGTTAATCGCCAACCCACTCCCCCCCCCCCCTCTCGCTCTCTCTCTCCACCGAATGAACAACATAAAGAAGAACGAGCCAGAGAGCTGGGAGACAGGTAGGAAGGAGCGCGACGGTTATGCGATTATGGGAATTCATGAAATGCATCCATGAAATATTTACACACATGCCTGAACAGTGAGAACTCACTTGGAAGAAACTAATCGAAAAAGATAAGATTATATTTGATGAGATTATTGGTAAAATTGCACTTTTATTTCCCACTGCAGTTCCCCCAACTACCATTGGAGAGGCAACAATGGGCTGTCTTATCTTGTGCTTACTTACGGTCCAGTTTAAAATACGTTTAGAGGCATTAATCCGCTGCCCCAGGCGCTGTTTTCTCCCTGAACCTATTTAATACTACAAAAACTTGAGTAGTGACACATTGAACAGAATACGAACAGAGAAGAATACGATTCCAAAAATAGTTTCCAGACAACAAGATTTGTGTCACCTGATTTGCAACCAATATAAAGTGAATGACACCAATGTGCATGCGACTGTTCATCTAATGGCATTCGAATTCTTCCCTTAGTCTTATCGCATATCGTTTACTTGTACCCGAAACGTACTTGTAACCCCCGTGTAAACGTTGAGTCATGCATCTGTGTGCACGAATTCATCTATGAAATTGCACGCAATAAGCACGAAAAATAACAATAACTTGCAGTGCATGCGAGCAGTACGTCTGCTGCTTACCCCCCCGCAACACACACACAAAACAGCGTTGATTGCACAATTTCCAAAAAGAAAGCAAAAACGCAAAAATGAAACGATGGTCGATGGTCGGTCAGTGCTAATGAGTCGGCGGGTGAGCGGGTTGGGCCTGTGTGCAGGAATCTCTAATCGTTTAGAGATTGAATGAATCGAATATGAAATTGACAGGGCCTAGCTCTCTCAGGCAACAGGCAAAAGGCAACAGGCAACGGGTGGGGGGAAAGTGTGTGGTGTGCCATAACCGAGTCTGGTGACGGTGACGCCATTTTGTGTGTGGAATTGCACAACAGAGACCCCACCTCATTCCAACCCATCCAATCCGCAGGGCATCTCTGAGGTACTGTTAGAGAGAGAGAGAGCGAGAGAGAGATAAGGGAGAAAGAATTATCTCTAATCTCAAGGCTGATGCCCGATTATATTTCAACTGCATTTATGTATGTACATATTTATACATATGTACTTGCCTTTATGTGTTCCCGTTTACCGTCGAGTGCCTTTGTCTCGGGAATTCCCGCTTGCTTCCCTTTGTTGGCTTTCCATTTCAATTTTGTTCATAAAAGCCCACGAAGACAGCGGGAGAGAAAGAGTTGACCCAGAAATGACATACACCTAGAGAAAAAAGTACTGACTGGACCACTGATTCAATTTGCAATCACAAATGAATGAATAATTTCCAAATGGAGTCCCGACAAAATACTTTTCCACTCTCATAAAGTACGGGGTGCAGGACTCACAGAAGCGCCTCAACTCAATAATTTATTTCAATTTCATCTTCATCTTTGTGAGTTAGATGCCAGAAGAACAATGAGGGAGCTGTCTCCATTTCCAAGCAACAAAATCAAATTAGTGAGTGGCAAACCACAGCGCAGAACAGCCAAAGGACAATGAACACTCTGCTCTGCATCTCAACCAGCGGAAACAGCGACAATATCAAGGATGTGGTAAGGAGTGAATATCCATCCAAGTCCGAGAGCTCCCAGCAATTAACGCGGCTCAGCATCTCTCTCGAATTGAGACGAATTGCGGCATAGTGGAGTCGAATGGAAAACAAATGGCAATCCGCTTAGGAACTGATTGAAATATAAATTCTGGAAAAGCCAACGGTGCGATGTGCTGTGGTGTGCTCCTCCTATCAATATCAATATCAATACCAATATCAATCTCACTCGCTTGGCATTTACTTCTTGAACGAACAGAGACATTCCCTTGAATTTAATGTTAGCTTTGCCCCCTCCATCTCTCTCTTTTCACTGCTATACGAAGGTGGCAAGGTGGAAGCTCTGCGGGTCGTCTGATTCTACTCCTGCAAGCACCCCCCTGAGCATCCCCAAGAACTTTTGCGTGCAGTTCAGCATTTTTCAAGAGCATTTCCGGTGCATTAGACCACCCAGGGGGGGTTGGGTGAGCGGGTGGTTGCCTGCATGGGAACGAGAGCTTACTTGCAGGAAATTGAATTCCTATGTTGTGCCACATAACGGCACTAAGGCACTGCGAAGGATGTGAGAGGGGGAAGGCGGTGCACGATGGCGCCGGCAAAATGTCATATCCAGGCGGCATCCTCTTATTGTACGAGCACCAGGAATGCCATCAGCCTGTGATCCAGTGGTTCTCTGGCATGTCATAAAGATGGAAAGTCAGTTGGCGGCATGGAGCTAGCAGCTGGAGGAGGATGAGGACGAGAAGGAGTACAGTTCTGGCAAGAACAGACAGCTCGATTCCAATCGCAGATTAATTGACTTGGCACATTGACACCTGTACAACATTTACATGGACATAGAGACACACACACACACACACACGGGCAAGTACAGTGCGCTTCATTCAATTAAAATGCCTTCCTTTCAGTACGTTTGTGTCATTTATTAGCTTTCTATCATCAGACATACACTTATGAAACGGACTGCAGGCGCATGGCATGCCAGAAAGTGTGTGGGGCTGGTGCTGGTGCTTGGGCTGGCTCCGTGGCTGCCACTTTCGATGGCAGCTGCATTAATTAAAATCTACAACAAATTTGATTGCTTTATGCCATGTCGGTCGGCCGAAGGCATGGCTGCCTGACAAAATTGTGCTCTACCCTGCACTACCCACTGTGCGCGGGGGGGAGGGGGACTTCAAATAGTTCTAATTGGATTGGAATTGAAAGTGGAACTACGACAACTAGGGCGGCTAGCAAGGATCCAACGCCACAGCTCCATCCAAAAACAGAAGCAGAAAAAAAGGCAGACGTTTTCTTTTTTTTGAAAGTTCCATTTCAAATTTCGTAAGAAAAAATAAACACACACACACTTCCATTGCTTCATTCTCTGATTATTCTCTGTGATTAATTTATGCAGAAAATGTATGAAAATATCGGCTACGTCGAGTGCTGGGCGGGCTACCGATGGTGACGAAGGCCTACACGGTCTTCGCTGTCGTCACATTGCCCACAAGTCCCAAAGTTATATTCCACTTTTCACGTTCCACGTTCCGCTTCTCTCCACGCACCCGCGCAAGCATAGCGGCAGACGCACACACACACACATAGAGTATATAAATATCCTACTATCGCAAAAACCAAAGCGAAACAGTGGCGGAAAGAGAGGGACAGGGCAGCGGTTGGCGGTTGGCGGCTGGCGGCTGGCAGGCATTAGTCATCCGCTTCGAGTGCGAGGCCAAAGAAAAAAATATAAAAATCAACATTAAATAAA